AAGGAGGCTTGGGGCAAGCATGCAATGCTCTTCGGTGACTTTTGCTTCCAGCCAATCAGCCATACGTCTGTCATGGCCTACCTGCAACGTCGCATTCGATGGTTACGAGTACGGAAGTTCACGGTGACTTTGGCGACGTTTGTGGAGCCAGGAACAGAAAGCATTCTTTGTGGACTGTATGGCGCATATGCTCTGACGACACTACCCTTCTTCCACAGCATCGGCATCAACCCAACATGGACCTCCTTCTTCCTGATCTGGCTTCTACACCTATCCGCATGGTGCCTTGTAGACTATGTCCAGTATCTGCTGCTGCACTGCGCGAAGACTGTCGAGATCGATTCCGACACCCCTGACTTCATCCTGCCTCAACGATCAGCCTCTGCGTACCACCGTACCGAGGTTCTAGAACCTCTGCTTGGCAATAAAACACCAGGTGAACCTAGTCTACTTGATGGCGCGAGGAGAAACTTCGTAGACTTCTTATTTGCGTGGCTCGGCCGCGAGATTTTCGCATTACCAGTCTGGGTCACCGCCTTCTGGGGAGGTGTAACAGTAGAGTGGCGAGGCAGGAAGTTCTGGGTGGGATTGGATATGAAGGTCCACGAGATCTTGCCGCAAGAGAAGGAAGTCAAGAATGATCAACACAAGAAACGTTAGGATCATAGGAGGAACCATAATTGTTGTTGCATAGCGTGCGGTCCCGGTAGCATTTCAGGCGTTCAGATGAGAATACGGACATTATCAGCCGACGTTTCCGTTGTCACATCACTGGTGAAGGAGGTCAATTTTGATTCAAAAGCTAACGAGTGTTTTTAATCTTGTCGAGCAGGATCTAGCTGAACGCTTCCAACCACAGCGTCGATCTCAGCCATCACATCTGGCGTAAGCTTGTCTATAATCTTCAAGGCTGCACAGTTGTCCACCACCTGCTCTGGTCTTGATGCGCCAGTGATCACCGCGGAGACATGCGGATTCTTCAAGCACCACGCAAGCGACAACTGCGACTGGCTGACACCCAGCTTATCCGCGATTGGCTGCTCACAGTTAGCTAGATGCCATCAAGGAGGCATGGGGACTTGGTTTACCTTCAATTTCCTCGCTGCGCCGATCATACCACTCCACTCATCATTTCCATATCGGTCGCGCATTCCACTCACAAAACCATCTTTTCCTTCAGCGAACCTCGATCCTGCTGGCGGCGCATCCGGACTATCATTGTACTTTCCGCTAAGCAGCCCAAACTTGAGCGGCGAAAACGTAGTCAACCCGATCCCGAACCGCGTATAGAGGCGCTGGAACTCGCTCTCCACCTTCTTCCTCTCGAGCAGGTTGTACTGCGGCTGCTCCACTACTGGTGCGATGAGACCTAACTGCTTCGCTATCCCGCAAGCCTCGGCAATCTCGTCTGCAGACCATTCTGACGTGCCCCAGTACAAAGCCCAACCCTTCTGCTCGATGACATGGTTGAATGCGCGAACTGTTTCTTCCATGGGTGTGAGGCGATCCGGACGGTGCGCATACACTATATCGATATACTCCAGATCCATGCGTTTGAGAGATGCGCGAAGACCCTCAATGATGTGTTTGCGCGAGAGACCGTGGTTGTTGACAAGCACTTCGCCATTTGCGCCGCCCCAGTTGAGTTTTGTGGATATTACAATGTCGTTGCGGTTCCACGCAAATTTCTTGATGGCCTGGCCCATGATGATCTCGGACTGGCCTGCGGCGTAAGACTCAGCCGTGTCGAAGAATGTGATCCCATTATCGTAGGCTGTCTTCATGATGGAGAATGTAAGTTCTGATAATGACGTTAGTGGAGTGGCTGATGAGCGTATAGGCACAATGTACCATTTTCGACGTGGCCTCCAAAACTGCAATCTGATGAGTATATTCCTGAGTGTATCCATGGAAGAAGACGAGTGAACATACGTGAGCCATCCTCCTAGACCCAGCGCAGATACGTGCAAGCCTGAGTTACCTAGGCGGCGGTACTGCATGCCCGTTTTGCGAGGTTCTTCCCAAGCCATCTTGCGTTCGTATGAGCGATTTGGTGATTGAACAACAAATTGATTTCCTATTGACGCTGGAACAAAGTGATGCCTCGAGTACAACCGCCATTTCCAGTCATAAGTCCTACCAAAGCCTTCAACGATTCTGCTGACTACGCTCAAAGCGGCGAGTCCTCCATGAAGGGCGATGCCGGCGATGTGGCCTGCCGCATCGGACGGAAAACCTCAGTTGGGCAGTTGCAGCGAGTTGGGCGCTGTGCTGCCGCGGCCTTGGTATCCAGGGTTTCGGAATGACTCGTAAAATCGTGGAGATTCCCGAGGTCGTCATTGATCCCCGCAATCACGACATGCAATGGTTCTGGGTAGTTGTGGGGCGCGGCAGGGAAAGTGGATCAGGCTAGAGACGTCTTCGTTGAACAAGGCGGCTCTCTGTAGCCGACGCAGAGACGTTTACTCACCATACACGCAGTCGACGCGCGATCATTCACAACGTTGTGTAGGAGAAATAGGAAAACAATGATTCAAAGTGTATTGGAAGTATAACTGACATACTCTCCGATGACGTCTCTTTGGAAATGGTATATAATGGGTATCAGAGCTTTGGAATTCGAACTTGGAATGCAACCTCGGGTTAATCTCAACGACATGTCGCAGATACTTCGGTGCAACTAAAAGGCGAGGGGGCATTGGTTGGTAGTCGGATCGATTGAAGAGACCATGTGATGCTGCTATGCATGTTGACATTGACTGTCTGTGGATTCCACCGGCTATCGTTTCCCAACGAAATCAGAGTGTGAACCTGAAGTCTAACCGCTTGTTGCCATCTTTCTCTCGGGAAATAATGTCTGCTTGGTACAGAGCCTTCTCTTCCGAAGTCATCTGTTCCCACTGTATCTGTTTCCTTTTGTTGAGGCGGACCAAAGTCTGCCGTTGCACAAGGAAAGTAATGACACTCAGCGCGCATATAGCCACAAGAACGGAGTTTCCCTGCTTGTAGTACGGGCCATCGTACTTGCGGTAGATCTGTGAACTGATCAGAGATCCAATCTGCACAATGACATTGTACGTTGCGGCCGTAATTGCACGTTTCTTAACGTCAAAAGTGTTCTCGGATATCCAAGAGGAGACCAAGGGATGGAAATATGGGTATCCGGAGATCAGCGTGATTAGGGAAAAGCGGCCCCATTCACGGCCCCCATCGGGCAGTGTCAACAACGCGATGAGAAGCGGCATGATCCAGAACTCGCCGAATATGCAGTGGAAAGTACGTTCGTTGAAGTAATCGCTTGAGTATGCCAGTGCTAGCATAGTGACGACCTGGAGAGCCGCAGACGGAATCGTCAACATGTTACTGTTGAAGGTGCTGAAGCCGAGGCGTTTGAGCGTGAGAGTGAGGTATCCTTGCACCGGCGAAGCAGGGATGTAAGCGACAAGACCGATGAAGTATAGACCCCACATGGAGGAATCTGACCAGGCCGCGCGGATGTCTTTGAATGTTGCTGGCTCTTTGAGAGCAGTAAGGCCTTTGGCTGGGTCGTCTCGGAGTATACGGTTGACCATGATGACTTCTTCCCGCTCAGTGTACCAACCTTGACGCCAAAGCACATTCTTGGTGGATGTCGGCGCGGTGGGCAAATACAAGTACGAGAGAATGGCGATGACGACCGTCAAAAGCCCTTCGAGGAGAAATAGCCAGAACCAACCTGGCTTTCCACCAACACCGCGCATCTCCAGAATCCCCGCCGCGAGCAAGGCCGAGATGACACGTGCGATGTTGAGTGTCGACCAGAAGGCTGCCAGGCGTAGAGAAAGCTCCTTGGACTTGTAGAAATAGGTCGCAAACAAAATCACACCGGGGATGAAACCACCTTCGCAAAGTCCGATGGCTGCGCGGCCCAAGTAAAACGAAGTTCGGTCGTGCATCCACGCCTGGCCCCAAGATGCAGTTCCCCAGGCAAGCATCATGGTTGGGAGGATATACTTGAAGCCATAGCGTTTGGTGAGACTGTAAAAGAACACGGTCAGAGAAAGATTTCAATAAGAGAATCGGTGATACTCACAACTGCACTGGAAATTCAGCAGCCAGAAAGCATACCAACTGTATCGTTGTTCCGTTGTTATAGTCGTCAGAAGTCAACCCGAGGTCCTCCAAAAGATTGTCTGCGAGCGCATTCGATATATTTCCTCGATCGAGCTGTGATAGTCAGTATTGCTGATCGGCTAGCACGATGTATGAACTTTCCTGCAGCCCGAACATCATGAGACAGAGCCATGTCAGTAGCCGGAGGTCTGTCTTCCGCACCACACGCCGTTCTTCCTCAATCGTCCAGCTCGCCTGGGGGTCGAAGCGATGCCGGCCTTCGTACGTCTCGTGGGGTGGGACGATATCCGCAAGTTCCTCTCTACCCACGTGGGCCGATGATTTGAGCGAATTGGCATCTTCACTGATCCGTGTTTTGTGCGGAGATGCTTCTATGTCGTTGCCCATTGTCAAGGGCTACGATTGTCGGCTACAGCACAATTGCCACGAAGGAAGGTTATTGCTGAGATGTGATAGACTGGACACTGCATATTCCCTGCTATGCTCTCTTGCCTCCTATTTATTACTTTGGACATGGCATGTCGCAATTCAAGCTCGTCCCGTCGCCATCGTCGCCATCCTACCGAGGTAGTAATTGCCCCGAAGAACGAGGGGAAAGCACAATGTTGTGCATGTTGATGCATCTCCTATTGGTCTTACTGTCGACATCCGCCTTGGCGTTCACGGGGTCATGTAGGCTAGGCGCGGCACGCCTAGACCCAGAGCGTACAATCAGTCCGATGACGTGCTTTACCACGCAGGCGGTGGTGTCACCCTGGTTCCGGGAATGATTATATGTCCTGGACTTCCAGACATTTGGAGCTGTTGGTCTGCAGGCTATCCAAGCGTTTTGTAACACTGAATTTGAGCCGGAAGTTGCACTAACCGCGCACCACATTGCCTTCAAGATGCCTTCAGTCAAGCGCAGTCGTATGGAAGACGTTCATGAAGACGGAGATGCAAATATCATTGGCGGTCACCCCAGCGCCCGATCGAGACTGTTGGAGCCCTTGGTCTATTCCGGATCCTTGGACAGCTTCAGACAGCAAGACTTGACCCCAGTCATTGGAAGAGAGTTCGAAGGTCTTCAAGTGACTGACCTGCTTCGATGGGGCGATGCTATGATCAAAGATCTGGCAATAACGGGTACGACTCTCTGTTTGCAGCTTGATATAGCTCATGACTGACTTATAATTCCAGTCTCACAACGTGGCGTCGTCTTTCTGCGGGATCAAGATGTTACGCCAACTCAGATGAAAGACCTGATGTTGCGGATCACCGAGTTGTCAGGCTGTGTATGTCCGATTGGCAGTGAATCCAAATTAACCTAGCAATACACTGACAACACATTAGCCTTCGTCCTCTAGTTTACACGTACATCCTCTTACCGAGGAGGGATCTGAGCTCGGCGACCAGATCTCTGTCATAAGTAGCGAAAAGCAAAAGAAAGGTGGCGGTCTCACTCACCAGCTCTCGGACGTATCTCGCCTTGCATCTGCGGGCTGGCATAGCGACATCACATTTGAGCCAGTCCCATCGGACTATGCGATGTTGAAAATCCACACCTTACCCGCAACGGGCGGTGATACGCTCTGGGCTTCCGGCTACGAAATCTACGACCGTCTCTCTCCTGCCATGCGGTCGTTTTTGGAGGGCCTGACTGCGACGCATGATGCGAAGTTCTTCCTGGATGAGGCAGCGCGATTAGGAAACCCACTCCGGAAGGATGTGAGAGGAAATCCATTGAACCAAGGTGATGTCCTCACAGCCACACATCCGGTCATTCGCACGAACCGTAAGTTTGACGTTGCTCTTGCGCTGCAGTCGCTGACTTATCGTGCAGCCGTAACCGGCTGGAAATCAGTATACGTGAATAAAGGATTCACGAAACGCATCAATGGCGTCACGAAGGACGAATCCGATCTCATCTTACCGTACTTGTTCAACCTTGTGACGCAAAACCACGATGCGCAGGTACGGTTCAAGTGGCGGCCGAACGATCTGGCTATCTGGGACAATCGAAGTACGTGGCATTGCGCAACGTACGATTACGAAGAGGCCAGAGCGGGTGATCGTGTCTGCAGCTTGGGCGAAGCACCGTATCTGGATTTGGGGAGTCAGGGGAGAAGGGAGGCTTTGGGTCTGAGATAGAGATCGATCGCCGATAGGTAGAATTGAATGGTGGCTGGTACTTAGCGTTGCATTACATCACCAACTCGCATCATCCCATCGCTCGCGCGACTGTCGCGCTGCAAGCCAGATTTCTTAGGGTCAATGCCCCAAGTGCCTGTGCACTCGCGTGCTGAGATCCAAGCGTGCAATGGCTACGTCATAGTACAACAATTCGCAAATGGTCCACCACACGAGCATGATGTCAATTGTATAACGACATCGTAGCTTCACTTCTTCGGAGAATCGAGACATGTTGCATGATGGTTGGCTCGAGTCTTCAGCTTCAGCATTAAAGCAACCCGCAAAGTGAACATAGAAGTCTGCATTGTCCGTACTATATGTTGGACGTATATACCAGCTACAACAAAATCACCGCATCGACGGATATTGCAACCCACATGAACGCTATCAGATCTAGAACCCACCAATCAAACAACAAAGCACAAGTGTATCTACGAACACCGATGTACGCCACGCTATACCGAAGCCCCAAAGCGCCTTGAACACCCACAAAGTCGTGACTATAAGGATACTCATCATGTCCTCTTTTCCCTAAATTGGCCCGTCGGACCCGCACTGAAAGCGCCGCTGATAATGCGCTTGAGTTGCTTAGGTTTACTTTGTGGCACTCTCTCGCCACTCGCCGTGCTCTTGCGACTGAGTCCCGTGCCAGTCCTCGTAATGCCATCCATACTCATACTGACACCGAGATCCATAGCGTTGCTACCACGTCGTGCACGTCTCGTCGCATCTTCGTTCTCTTTCTGGTGTAGAGTTTCCGATGGAAGCAAGATGGCACGATCGAGAGCATATGGAAGACCACGATGTCTTCCACGGATCTGCATGGCGATGATGATGAGTTTGCTCAATGTCTTGAACTGGCCGGAGAAGGACGTATTGAATCCGGGGAATCCCTGACTCAGTCCGACCGTACCGTACGCAGAGACAATCTCGAAAAGGACGGAGAACAGGCTGAACGCGTATTCGTTCGTATTCTCGAGGCGCACGCCTTCGATGATGGCGATGAGGAAGAAACCCAAGAAGACGAACCATAAATCGAATGAGAGTTGGCGACGCAGATGATGCGAGAGGTAGCTGGATTGAGTGTCGTCTTCGTCGTCTGCGGCCCAGACACCCAGTGACTTCTCCTCGTAGACATTCGACTGGCGAATAGACATGGCGATGGGGAAGATCGAAATGTACATCATGATGAGGTAGCTGACTTGGACCGCAGGGTGCAGATCGGCGATGTTGACAACGGCGAAACCTGCAGTACGCGTTGAGGCAGCTTGGAAGAGACCAGCGAGGAAGCGGTGACCACCGGATAGCGAGGTCACGGTCGGGTCGTTGAGATCGAGAATGATGAAGAAGATGAGATCGACACCATTCAGGACGACAAGGATCCAGAAAAGCCACCAGTTTGCCTTGCTTGGGAATAGTAGAGTAAAGCACCGACGCGGGTGATCCAACAGGAAACGAAGCTCTTCCCAGATGGCGCTGCTCTTGGGTACCATCAGGGAGTACATCCAGATGGTGAACCGAAGCATACAAGGAAACCCGGTATTTCCGATGATGATCAGGAAGGTACCCAGCACAAGGGGCCACACAGCTAGCTGGAAAGAGACCATCGAGTCTGGAGTGAGAGTGAATCCCAGATCGTTGAACAGGGAGGCTGAAGTAAAAAAGCTCCACCAAGTTGGGTCAACGCCAAAATCTCTCACGACACCACTATAGTGAGCGTCGTTGTTGATCCATGGCGCCAAACATATAATGCCGATGGTGTGCCACCCGAGGTAGAATATGATGAGGATCATGGCGAGCAGCTTCAGAGCACGATATTCGATACCACCGAGCTCTTCTCTTTGTTCTTCAGTCAAATCAACAAAATTTGAGTTGCGTCCGAGGGTGGGTGTCCAGCTGAGGTAGGGCATCGGGTCCTCCTCTTCGGTCTTGGTCCTGGTAAGGAAGCTGGTAAATGTTCTTGATCGTGACCTATTACGTAGATGCATACTCGATGCAGGCACATTTGCATCGCCCTCATTGGTCCTGGTTCTGTCATAGACAGAGTGCCCGGTAGGGCGTTGCTGCCGGTCCGGTACGTCGATGGTGATGTGATTCCTGAAGGGGCGATCGTCTCCGTTCAGAGCATGGGGAACAGAATTTGAACGCTCTCGCTTGGGATGAGACTCATGCGATAGTCTACTCGCAACTCTGTCCAATTCTTCCTCTCCTTTGACAGCCTCTGGGATGAGCCCCTGGTCGAAGTCGCGTGGACCTGGTATACGAAGCTTGTTCCTCGCTGTCGGGTTTCGCTGCGCTTCTACGAAAGCGATGCTCTTCTCTTTGTTCGACTGTGGAAGGCGGCCGCCAGGGGATTCTTCAAGCGACTCCTTGGGCTTCTTTTCCTTAGGTGTGCTGAGATTGTCGGCCCATACAATGCCAGATGGAGCAGTTTGAACGGGAGTCGTCGGCCGGAACGGTGGCATTTCGTCCTCGCTGGAACTAGATCTTCTCGGGCGTATGCCATTGCCAGTCCAGTCCAGTCCGTCACTGAAGGCGTACTCGTTCGCGATTGTTCCACCGTGTGCGTGGCCACTGGATCCACGCATGACCCGAATCTCACGAGCGCCGACCGCTTGCTCTTCTTGTCCAACATTACGTTCTGTTGCTGCATTCATCTCACTCTTCCTCCTAGAAAGTGTGCGAGTCCGACCGCTCCGGTTTCCTCTCTCGAGCACGATGTTCTGGAAACGCTTTTCGAACCAATAGAGGCGAACGACTACGACGGAGCTGTGGATGAAGATGGGCGTACATAAGCTGGCGATAAAGTAGATGACTATCTGTTTAGTGTTAGCAAAAGACTTGTAGATTTCAAACGCATCACATACCTGTTGATATAGATCCAGTGTGTTTATGTCAATTCTGCGCTGGCAGTCAGTTCACTGCCCTCATACCTCAGGGACTAACATACGTGTTCAAGCCACTCTGTGTTGCTGCGCCGCTTGCAAAGAAGAGCGCATCGACATAGGGTATGCGACCACTGCCGTATATGATGACGGATCCGATGAGCGCCCACCCAATGATATACGAATCTGTAAACCTATCAGCCACAGTTCAGTCCCTCCCCTGTGATAGTGCGCATACAGTGAAGGGTGATAAAGTTGGCGTGTGGTTTGAGGGCCTTAAGACTGGACGGGAGGCGCTGCTTCAGCCATGCGAACATGACAAGCCATGGGCCGAACATGTTGCCACCAGTGGGCTTCCAAGGCGATGGGAAAGAGTGAATGGCACCCAGTGGGCGGGACTTGTCAGGTTGAAAGAGGTGAGATCAGCAGAGGCAGTGGGAAGGAAGAGCTGAAAGTTCGAGTCTAGTCGAGCGCGCCCCAAGCAGAGAGAACGTCAACGGACCGAGCCGGTAGCGCGTCGCAGAAAAGCTCCGTCGTAGTGGTGCATATTTGAGGAAAGAAGAGGGCGAAGTGTTAGTTCGAGTGGGCGCTGTGAACTATGGGTCGCGTTGCGGGACGGTAGTCGAGTGGTGCGCTGTGAAAGATTGCCGGCTTGTCGCGCTGCCAGGTGCGGCGATGACGCTAAAGGGGCATCGAGGCCACGGAGTGCCCAGCCCTGCTATTCGCAACCGGAGTTTTAACAGACCCCTGTAGTGCACATGGGAATCCAATCGAGAAGGCCTTCCTGCCACACCATAGCCATGGCACTACGCTGCAACCAGAGTTCACATGTGCAACGTGCTTTTTGATCTGCATGCACGTTGGACGTGTGCTTATTCTCCACTGCGATGCTTCCGCTCCGCCCCGCTATCCTTCCTTCCGCGTCGCGTGAGCAGTCCCAAATGAGGATTTGATAAACGGTGCCCCTCCACATCTCAATATATATGGTGGGTGTGGACATCGACTTTGCATGAAAGACTACCTTCGCCAGCGCATATCGCGATACGGGGTTCGTCCGCCGGCCGAGCTGATATCTCACCACCCCATCACAACAAGAAATGGCAACAGCGCCGACCATAGCCAAGGATACCGCGGCACCGGCGAGTAGGCACTTTTGTTTCAGGACAAGATGCTTGCTTTGGCCTTGATAAGGTGCGCCTGATTACTGGGGCGAATGACAAAGGCTAGTTCACGTTTCGCTGGGCTCACGGACTTTCGTCGTCCTCATTTCTTCTGCGATTGCTGCGCCACAGTTTGGCGTTCTAGCCAGTCATTTGGGTGCATCGATTCACGGAGACTTCGGCACTTTGGACGCTTGTCGTGGCACGTCCAAACTGTATACCTGCTTCGCTAGTAATTTTATCACGTCAGCTTTGCTTTTAATTCGCATGCCGAGCTCGTTTTCTAGGGCGAAGACGCGTATGCATGCTTGGTTCGGACATTCGGTATCGACAATAGTCATATTCGGACCGCGCAAAGATGTGGAGCAGACCAACGGACCCTGATATTCACATCCTAAAATACACTTGATCCTGCTCCGAGGCAAGACATCCATATCCTCCACTATTCCGTCTCGTACGTCCATTCATCGTCGCCAATGCAGTAAATGCGTATGAAATCAAGCCAAGCATAAAGGAATAGATCATTGCAATTTTGGAAGTCTTTGCTTCTCTTCCTCGTTCGGTTTCTTCGTCACCCTACAGAAAAGAGTTGGCTAGTCAGTACCGTTCGGTGCAGCAGAGAGAGTAGGAGTTGTGGCGCCTGAATTAGGCTTACTCTTCGTCTTCAACGTTAGCGGGAAGGTAAAGTCGTCAGCCTCTTCTTCTTCACTGCGCAGTTGTTAGCGTTGCCATGGTGCATCACATTCTGATCATCACTTACGGGAGCTTCCACGCAATGTAATCCTCGGTGCTCAGTCCCTCGCGGCCCTCCTGCAGCGAGGCAAAGTCACCGGGCGTCATCATGCCCGAACGATCGCGGGGAGACCCGGGCTCGGACAACGGCCGTGAGATCTTGACGTCTTGCGAGCTGAAG